GGTTCGAGAACTGACTCCAGCCCAGAACCATGACCGTGGAAAATGTCTAATAGTGTAGCTTTAAATAGATTTAAGAGGAGCAGACTTCAGACACTGAACATTGAGATTTATTGTATTTGTTTACAAGGTGGTACAGGTTAATGATGGTTTTTTGCATACACTCTAAAATTAATTGAAAATATTACATTTAGTTTATCAGAAGGTAAATTAATATGTCATGGCTAACACTAGGTTCCTAAATTCTGTCATAATTGACAAGTTCAAGTTTTCACATGCTACTCATGCACATTAATGTTACCATCTCTAAAAAAAAAAAAAAAGAAAAAAAAATTACTTCAACCATACTCCTAAATTTTTGCTCCTAAAAGAAATTGTTACCGTAGAGTCATGCAGAAGGAATAGACTTTTGCTGGAACCTTAATCAAGCAGTCATTCTATGCACAACAGTTACATTTATATCTGGCAGAAGTGTATGAGAGAGACAACGATGGGAAATTTAAAGGACCAAAGTGCCTGCATGCTGTGGGAACTTGTATGAGTGTGTCCTGCATTGCAAGCATACAGCTGAACATAATTGCTGCTGTCCTACTGAGTCCTTCAAGACAAGGAGCTTATTGAGACGACCCACGACCCCATGCTTTGAGCGTCGGTCTCACCCACCTCATTGGATTTTGGCTGTTTTTAATGATCATTTAATGGTAGTGTTAACAAGATTCCACTAATAGTGCAGCAATCTAGAGGTGCACAGCTCGTCGATGAAAAACCGGGCACACAGACACAGCTACATGTTATAGACTCTGGTCTGTGAAAGTGTGTTGCTTTTGCATGTTTTGAAACGTTTGCTTTTCAGTTCCTCAAAAGCATTAGCGTCTGTATGTTTATGGACACAGTTGACCTGAAACACCGATAAAAGTAGCTGATTTTCAGTAAGGAGAAAAAATATGCGAGAAATACGTTGACAAAAACAGGAGCACTTTTCGGGAAACCAAGTCACTCGTGTTTCTTCCATCGAGCACAGAAGTGAATATGTTCACGTTGCAGTTCGCTGAGACTCTTTTTTTTATTGCAAACATTTTCACTTAGTGAGTCACTTAGTGACGTGAGTCACCTCCATTCTCCTTTTCTATATTTATATCTACAGTAGCGTCTGGCATTAATCTAACCCTCAGCCTTATGTTAGACACGTCTGGTTAAGGATTCGTAGACATTTACATATGTTTAACTTTCCAAAACTTCAGCTGGAAAATAAAAGGAACCATCACACGGTTAGGAAAAGTAAGTCATTAAACAATTCAACGTGAATATTCTATTAGATGTCCGGCCTCTCACTTTAATTTAATTACCGAAGAAATCACTGGGGGGGGGTGGGGTAAGGGAATATCAGTGTGACGAACAGCAACGAGATCCAATGAGCTTCCAGATTTAACCATTAACGTTATACATCATTCAGTGTTAGCCAATCCGCTTGCAGAAAGGTGGATTCCAGTTGGTTGGTCATGTTTGTCCGAGTTCACCGAGGCCCAATCCCTGGTGTCGCGAGACGACATTTCCCGACCAGAGTAACATGGTGAACGGGGCATTGGTTCTCACGTTTCCCTCGCCCATGTTTTACCGGTAAGCTTTCTACACCGAAGAAAACACCACAAAAAAACTGACCAAGCAATACGGCTTTCGGAGGCGATTTAGGGAATGGAAAGGACTTGAACTGAACAACTGACATTCAGCACGACTAATAAACAGAATCGCCGATTATAACAAAAACATACCTACCCAGAAATTTTCCAGGAAATGCGGCGTTATCATGTTGGTTTCCTTTCTCCTGCGAGGACGTTCCTGTCGTTCTTTCTTTTCTTTTTACTCCGCTGTCAATTAAAGCACTTTATCCACCGTCCTCCTCTGATTTTGTATCTTTTGGAGCTCTTTTTCGTCCCCCCTCTTCTGTTTCTTTCCTTCCTTCGGTCTGAAAACTCCACTTCCCCCTCCCGACTTCACTTGTCTTCTATAGCCTCTAGCCGTAGTTTGGTGTAGTTCTTTATTTAAAGAAGGACAGCGCCCCCGAGCGGTGGCCTATAAAAACCGCTGCCGTTATTCTGGGACGTAACACATTAACAATAACAATGTCTTACACTATGGCTCTGAAGGTGAAAGTCCGAGGCGGGCCCGTTGTGTGTTTTGCTGTGTGCATTTTTTCAGTGTGAATTAAATGTTGGACTGGAATAAGAACAAAGAACCAACATCTTATTGGGTGACCGATTACATTGATTATCATGTTTTAACATAATAACACCCCATGTCTTATCCTTTCATCATCTTGTTCCTGATTACTCACTGCATCCCATAATAGTTGTTTTCCTTACAGGATACCAACTTTACCTTGTTTCATTCTTCCTTCTTTTCTGGTGCAGCTTGACATCACTCATATGTTTAAGACTTGGAAACAGGAAGTACACTACAAATCTACATGCACGTACAGTAGATAGTAAAAGAATACCATGTACCTTTTAATCTTTAGCCTTCTCAAGTGAACAGTGTGTTCATTTGTTATCTTTTACCACATTTCCCCATTTTGAAGATGATGGTCACCAGAGAAAGGCTTATTTACACTACAATGTACATTATCCCACGTGCTAATTGAGTGAAAGAAAATTCTTCTCCTACCTCCTTAGTGCATCGCCTGAGTTCAGGCATAAGGGAAAACACAATGAAATAGAATTTACCAAAGAAATTACATCAAAACAATTTAATGTCACTATAAAACTGAATCTGAAATAATCTGAAGATACAGTGGTGTGAAAAAGTGTTTGCCCCCTTCCTCATTTCCTGTTCCTTTGCATGTTTGTCACACTTAAGTGTTTCGGAACATCAAACCAATTTAAACAATAGTCAAGGACAACACAAGTAAACACAAAATGCAATTTGTAAATGAAGGTGTTTATTATTAAAGGTGAAAAAAAATCCAAACCATCATGGCCCTGTGTGAAAAAGTGATTGCCCCCCTTGTTAAAACATACTATAACTGTGGTTGTCCACACCTGAGTTCAATTTCTCTAGCCACACCCAGGCCTGATCATTGCCACACCTGTTCACAATCAAGGCATCACTTAAATAGGAGCTGCTTGACACAGTAAGGTCCACCAGAAGATCCTTAAAAGCTACACATCATGCCGAGACCCAAAGAAATTCAGGAACAATTGAGAAAGAAAGTAATTGAGATCTATCAGTCTGGAAAGGGTTATAAAGCCATTTCCAAAGCTTTGGGAATCCAGCGAACCACAGTGAGAGCCATTATCCACAAATGGCGAAGACATGGAACAGTGGTGAACCTTCCCAGGAGTGGCGCCGCCCCAAAATTACCCCAAGAGTGCAGCGACGACTCATCCAAGAGGTCACAAAAGACCCCACAACAACGTCCACAGAACTGTAGGCCTCACTTGCCTCAGTTAAGGTCAGCATTCATGCCTCCACCATCAGGAAAAGACTGGGCAAAAATGGCCTGCATGGCAGAGTTCCAAGGAGAAAACCACTGCTGAGCAAAAAGAACATCAAAGCTCATCTCAATTTCTCCACAACACATCTTGATGATCCCCAAGACTTTTGGGACAACATTCTGTGGACCGATGAGACAAAAGTGGAACTCTTTGGAAGGTGTGTCTCCAAGTATATCTGGCGTAGAAGGAACACTGCATTTCATAAAAAAAAACATTATACCAACAGTAAAATATGGTGGTGGTAGTGTGATGGTCTGGGGCTGTTTTGCTGCTTCAGGACCTGGAAGACTTGCCGTGATAAAAGGAACTATGAATTCTGCTGTCTACCAAGAGATCCTGAAGGAGAGTGTCCGACCATCTGTTCGTGTACTCAAGCTGAAACGCACTTGGGTTCTGCAGCAGGACAATGATCCTAAACACCCCAGCAAGTCCACCACCGAATGGCGGAAGAAAACAAAATGAAGACTTTGGAGTGGCCCAAACAAAGTCCTGACCTGAATCCTATTGAGATGTTGTGGTATGACCTTTAAAAAGGCCGTTCATGCTCGAAAACCCTCTAATGTAACTGAATTAGGACAATTCTGCAAAGATGAGTGGGCCAAAATTCCTCCAGGACGCTGTAAAAGCCCCATTGCACGTTATCGCAAACACTTGGTTGCAGTTGTTGCTGCTAAGGGTGGCCCAACCAGTTATTAGGTTTAGGGGGCAATCACTTTTTCACACAGGGCCATGATGGTTTGGATTTTTTTTCACCTTTAATAATAAACACCTTCATTTACAAATTGGATTTTGTGTTTACTTGTGTTGTCCTTGACTATTGTTTAAATTGGTTTGATGTTCCGAAACACTTAAGTGTGACAAACATGCAAAGGAACAGGAAATGAGGAAGGGGGCAAACACTTTTTCACACCACTGTATATACAAGCACTTAATTATTTACTCATACCCCTGAATGTACTACTAGAATCACTTTACTGTCCACATTTCCTCTAAACACCTTCATAATTCATAATCACCAGAGAAAAGGAAAAGATTGGGGTGTTCTAAATCACAGTGTACTGTCTCTTCACCAGGCTTCATGCGTGTGGGTAAATTAACAAATTTATGTGAGATAACTGAATGAATCATACACTGGAGTTTAGCCTGACAACATGAACATATATATGCAAGGGGCATGGCTAGAATTATCATAACCACGACTGGGATAACCACAAGGTATCCAGACCATTTACCAAAAAAAGGACCAATCATCCAAGGATCCCAATCATCTGGGGGAGAATTGTAGGCTATAGCACGCATGTGATTTATAAAATCAGAGATGATTATACTATGATTTAATGTATTAAACGGGTGGTATTTAGTACTTTGCACACACTACCTTCTTTTGCTGTTAATATGTCTAGAGCTAACAACTGTGGTTCCACATGGATGAGTAAATTCTCTGCATTGATGTTTGGTGTGTTTGTCTTCTAAAGTTGGGACTATGACTGCCTTGAACATTACAGATGTTATGCAGTGGTTGATCAGTGGATAAGACATTGGACTACCAATCGGAAGGTTTTGAGTTCAAATCCCAGTGCTGCCACTGCTGGGCCCTTGAGCAAGGCCCTCAACTGCTCAGTTGTATAAATGAGATAAATGTAAGTTGCTCTGGATAATGGACATAAATGTAATGTAATATAGTGAGTGTAGTTGAAAGTCTCTAGTATATACAGTATATATATAATATATTGTCATGTCTTTGTCCTTGATGTTCCTTTCAAGGCATATACAGAATATAAAATATCCCTATATAACTTCTTTATTATTAAGGGTTATCTGTCTACTTGTCCTTATAATGGATGCCGGGACACCCTGGCCCTTCTGTGCAGTGAGTTGTCTTTCAACGAGAGTAGCTGGGTGAGTGTCCAAACAACCTGCATAACAGTTTTCTTGGCCACATTGGCATCTATAGCTGTGCTAAGGTACATGAGCATCAGAGCATTTGGTCCTTTTGGAAGGATGGGAAATTCTCCCGAGCACTGTTACTGCCTTCTGCCATGTTCTGCAACTGAACTAAATGATTGCAGCAAGCCTAGTGACAACTGTCCATCACTTTATAGTCAAATATAAAACTTATTTAAATGATTTCAATGTGTCTATCAGTACTTTTTGTACATATTCGGCACATTTTAACAATACCATGATAATACTGATAACCGTGATAGTTTTGGTCACAACAATCATGATATTAAATTTACATTCAGTTACATCTCTAACGATAACATAGCTCTGTTCTCCATTAATATAATCAGAGACCATGGTAGCATGAGTTGTTGAATCTGCTAGCAAACTCATTCGGAAAGGCCATATGCAAACATTCACAAAATATAAAGTGTGATACTTACGTCTTCTGGATATGAAGCTGGATCACGGACAGTTGGTATTGGTCCATGCTTGAGAATCAAGTTTTTAGCAAATCCTGCTTTGTCCCTCTGTTCTGAAACTTATCACATATAGTAAAAACTTAAAAATTAGAAGAACATGCCATGGTAAAATGGATTGGGTGGAAATAAAATGGAAAGGAGGAGTTCTGAACCATCCAATTCAGCAAGACGGCAGTAGCTGTGGGGTCATTGTAGTCATGATAAGTTAAATAATGTAATAACCTGAAAATGCTCATAGCTGTCTTCCATAAATTATGTCCCTTTCTTTTTTAGCTGTGGATATGTAGCCACGAAATTCAAAATACTGCATTACATTATTTCAAATTTGTTATTTTGGTAAATATAGTGCCATAAGACAACTGCTCTATGTAAGAGTCAGCAAATGTGATATTTTGAATATTTGTGTTCGATGTGCTCTTGGTGTCATTTTGACTGGGCACCCAATTCTTGGTAGAGTAGCAACAGTCCCAAAGTATCTCCATTTGTAGAATGTTTGCCTAACTGTAGACTGGTGAATTTCTGAAGTTTTTGAAATCACTTTGTAACCCTTGCCGGCTTTATGTAAATCAACTATTCATGATCGTAGATCCTCTGAAAGCTCTTTTTGGCGAGGCATGGCTCGCATAAGTGTGTGCTTCTTGTGCAGAGCAAACTCCAAAAATTTGAGGGATTTTTATCAGTCAAGGTAGCTGTAGTCCACACCTCGAAACTCATTTTCTTAACGAGACCCCAGTTGTGCTAAAACCTGACTCCAATTAGCTTTTTTGAGGTCGTTAACTAAAGGGTTCACATACTTTTTCCACAAGCACTATTAGGATTTTTTGGTTGTTCCCAATAAAGACATGAAAGATCTGAATTTTATTTGTGTTATTATTTTAGGCACATTTATATTTGCAAATAACCTTCACTTAGATGAAGATCAAATCACATTTTATAACAAATTTATGCAGAAAACCATGAAATTCCAAAAGGTTCACATACTTTTTCTTGCCACTGTATATACATACTGTACATACATACATACTGTATCTCACAAAAGTGAGTACACCCCTCACATTTTTGTAAATATTTGATTATATCTTTTTATGTGACAACACTGAAGAAATGACACTTTGCTACAATGTAAAGTAGTGAGTGTACAGCTTGTGTAACAGTGTAAATCAACACACAGCCATTAATTTCTAAACTGCCTGCAACAAAAGTGAATATTGGCTCTTTGGGCCCAATTTGGACATTTTCACTTAGGGGTGCTAAGTGAAAATGTCCAAATTGGGCCCAAAGTGTCAATATTTTGTGTGACCACCATTATTTTCCAGCACTGCCTTAACTCTCTTGGGCATGTAGTTCACCAGAGTTCACCGGTTTGTTTGGAGTCGTTATCATGCTGGAATACTGCATACTGATCATGCTCTGCTTCAGTATGTCACAGTACATGTTGGCATTCATGGTTCCCTCAATAAACTGTAGCTCTCCAGTGCCGGCAGCACTCATGCAACCCCAGACCATGACACTCCCACAACCATGCTTGACTGTAGGCAAGACACACTTGTCTTTGTACTCCTCACCTGGTTGCCACCACAGATGCTTGACACCATCTGAACCAAATAAGTTTATTGGTCTCATCAGACCACAAGACATGGTTTCAGTAATCCATTTCCTTAGTCTGCTTGTCTGCAGCAAACTGTTTGCCGGCTTTCTTGTGCATCATCTTTAGAAGAGGTCAACAGTGGACAATAGCCATGCAGACCAATTTGATGCAGTGTGCGGTGTATGGTCTGAGCACTGACAGGCTGACCCCCCCATCCCTTTAACCTCTGCAGCAATGCTGGCAGCACTCATACGTCTATTTCCCAAAGACAACCTCTGGATATGACGCTGAGCCCATGCACTCAACTTCTTTGGTCGACCATGGCGAGGCCTGTTCTGAGTGGAACCTGTCCTGTTAAACTGCTGTATGGTCTTGGCCATCATGCTGCAGCTCAGTGTCAGGGTCTTGGCAATCTTCTTATAGCTTAGGCCATCTTTATGTAGAGCAACAATTCTTTTTTTCAGATCCTCAGAGTTCTTTGCCATGAGGTGCCATGTTGAACTTCCAGTGACCAGTATAAGGTGAGAGTGAAAACCTTGAGAGGAACCAGAAGGGAACCCATCCTTATCTGGGTAACATCAGATAGTGTGCAAAAGTTCATTATGGTTTTATATGAAGGCTGTTTGGCCTTAGAAGCAGCCGTAGTCCCAGCAATCTGTAATTGGAGTAGATTAAAGTCAGAGGTAGGACATCCGAAATGGATCAGGCAGGTCCGGAGTATCTCCATAAAATTGTTTGTGATTCGACAGAAGGAGAGAGAGAGAGAGAAAAGATTATTTGGACTGGGAATTAGTATAATAGAAAGTCTAATCAGTGTAGGTTTGAGTAAATAAATACATTTTAAGCCTAGACTTAAACACTGAGACTGTGTCTGAGTCCCGGACACTAATTGGAAGACTGTTCCATAACTGTGGGGCTCTATAAGAGAAAGCTCTTCCCCCTTCGCTATTCAAGGTACCGTCAAATAGCCTGCAACTTTTGACCTATGTAGGCGTGGCAGATCATCGAAAACAAGAAGGTCGCTTAGATACTGTGGCGTGAGACCATTTAGTGCTTTATAGGTTAATAATAGTATTTTATTATCAATGCGAGATTTCACTGGGAGCCAATGCAGTGTGAATAAGACCGGGGTGATTTGGTCTTATCTTCTGGTTCTAGTTAGGACTCTAGCAGCTGCGTTCTGGACTAACTGGACTTTGTTTATGCTCCTACTGGAACATCCAGACAGTAAGGCATTACGATAATCTAATCTAGCGGTGATGAAAGCGTGAACTTTTCTGCATCGTGTAGTGACGTTATATTTAATTTCTGAGATGAAAGAAGGCTATCCTAATAATTTTATCCACATGAGCATCAAATGAAAGACTGGAGTCAATAATCACACCAAGGTCTTTTACTGCTTTACATGATGAAACAGAAAGACCATCCTGAGTTAGTATGTGATCAGCAAGCTTACTTCTAGCTACATGTGGTCCTAATACAAGTACGTCTGTCTTATCAGAATTAAGTAAAAGGAAATTAGTTAGCATCCAACGTCTAATGTCCTTTACACAATCCTCAACTTTATTAAGCTTCTGTCTGTCCTCTGGCTTCACTGAAACATACAACTGTGTATCATCAGCATAACAGTGGGAGCTAATTCCATGTTTATGAATAATTTGACCTAGAGGTAGCATATATAAAGTAAAAAGCAGTGGGCCTAAAACAGAAACCTGTGGAACACCAAATTTAACCTCGGTATGCATGGAGAAGTCTCCATTTACATCTACAAACTGATAACGATTGGTCAAATAAGACTTGAGCCAGGAGAGGACCAAACATATAAAGAATTCACAACATTAATGTCCATAAATGAAGTTATGTTCTTCAAGACAAGGTAAAGGAAAGAACCAGCTGAAATCTTCAAGTAGATAGAAAGTAATTATACTTCCTATCTGTGTAAATTAATATCAGCTGGTAAATTGACGGTCTATAAAAAGGCTTTTCGTTACAAAGGTATCACACAAGAAACATCTCATGATGAGTAAAAGCAAATAGCTCTCCCTAGACCTTAACAACCTTATTGTTGCAAAACATATTGATGGAATCTGATACAGACGTAGGTCAAAATTTCGGAATCTTCCAGTAAACCCATTATCCGCAAGTGGAAGCAACATCACTCCGTCATCAACCGGCCATGCACGAGAGCTTCTTAAAACAAAGATAAAAGCTAAAGCTATGATGTTTTTTTAATCTTCAATTTCTTTTGACCTTTTCTCAGTAAATTGTAGTGAAAGTGTACTTGACGTGACAGAATGCCATCAGATTTAGTGTACTCTAAACAGCTGAACTAAAGTGGACAATAGAGCTCTCTTGTGGCCAAATCAAACAATTCCATTTCTAAAAAAACAAACAAAAAAACTTGAAAAAAAGAAACATGATCAATATGTGCAGTTATTGTGCCTTTTGTGAATGAGCACACATTTCTTCTTGTGGTCTACAATATTCAAAATGAAAACTCTCTCACAAATATAACATTATTTACTGAAAAATAAGAGTAGGTGTTTGTGTTAAAAAAGCAACAACAAACA